ATTGCTTGAATCTGGGAGGTGGAGGTTGCAGTGAGCCGAGATCGCGCCACTGCACTCCAGACTGGGCAACAAGAGTGAGACTCCGTATAAAAAAAAAAAAAAAAAAAAATTAACTGAGTGCCGTGGCACACACCTGTAATCTCAGCTACTCAGAGCTGGACGCACAAGAATGGCTTCAGCCTCAAAGGCGGAGGTTGCAGTGAACCAAGATCGCACCACTGCACTCCAGCCTGGGCAACAGAGACAGACTCCATCTCAAAAAAATAAAAAATAAAAAAATAAAAAATGCAAGAGAGCTCTAAACAGAAAGTAAAAAAAGAAAAGAAAAGAAAAAAAGAAAAAAAAAGAAATGCAACATTTTATACTCAGTTTCAGATGCTTTATGGATCATTAACTGATACTGTACCTTGCCTAATGAAAAACTGAAAACAAATTGTTAGTGTTGATTTCTTCCATCTGAATTTTTTTATGTTAAAGTTTGAATATTAAAACATCACTCCATAAAGAAAGAGCAAGAAGCCAGCCATGGTGGTTCATACCTGTAATTACTGCATGGATTACACAGCATGCCTGTAATCCCAGGCAGATTGCTTGAGCTCAGGAATTCGAGACCAGCCTGAGCAACATGGAGAAACCCCGTCTTTACAAAAACATACAAAAAATTTAACCAGGTGTGGTGGTGCATGCCTGTAGTCCCAGCTACTCGGGAGGCTGAGGTGGGAGGATCACTTGAGCCCAGGAGGCAGAGGTTGCAGTGAGCCAAGATCATGCCACTGCACTCCAGCCTGGGCAACAAGCCAGACCCCATCTCAAAAACAAAAAAGAGAGAGAACTGAGAAGTTCTCATTAAAAGTTCAGAAGTGTCTACGTTTTATTTTGCATATGTGCATTATTTGCAACCATGTCAATGTAAAAGCAAAATGAAAAACCTATCTCCCTGGGATATAAAACACTTTGATGCTACCTAACTATCAAGGAAGTCAGAGCTCTGTGAAATAAATCTGCAGCACTTAAGCAAGAGAAGTTCTTTTGACAATTTTTCTGAAAGGCTCTGAAACTGATTTACTTTAGTCTTCCAAGTATAAGAGGAAGGTAACATAATTAGGAGAGAGAACATGCATTTATTTAAAGTCTGAAGGACCTGAGTTTGAATCCTGCTGTTTCATTACCAGCTGGGTGATGCTGGACTCATTATTTAACCCCTCTGAGAATGCTTCCTCTCAGCAAATTGGGCCTGTTACCATCTGCTTCAGGTGGCATCAGTGCAACATAAATGAAATAGGTAGGCGGGTGGCTAACTGGTGTCTGACGTGTAGTCACATTTGTTTCCCCTCTTCTCCCCTTTTAAACTTGTATTACTCCCATAGTCAGGTTTAAGCCTCTGATGATAGGCTGTCTTATTTGTCCTTGTATCCACTCAGCATAGTGCCTTACACTTAGAAATGTCAAAGAACTGCCTCCAGCCGGGCACAGTGGCTCACTCCTATAATCCTAGCACTTTGGGAGGCCAAGGCAGGTGGACTGTCTGAGCTCAGAAGTTCAAGACCAGCCTGGGCAACATGGTGAAACCCCGTCTCTACTAAACAAAATATAAAAATTAGCCGGGCATGGTGGCACACACCTGTAGTCCCAGCTACTCCGGAGGGAGGCAGGAGAACTGCTTGAATCTGGGAGGCAGAGGTTGCAGTGAGCTGAGAACGTGTCACTGCCCTGCAGCCTGGGCAACAGAGTGAGACTCTGTCTAAAAAAAAAAAAAAAAAAAAAAAGAACTGCTTCCTCAATAGTAACTAGCAATGTTCATAAGAGGGTTTTGTTTTCTGTTTTTTATCTTTTATTAAAAAGAGCTATTCCAGAACTATCCAACAGTCCTCCCCCAACTCCCCAGCGCCTCTCTCCTCAAGGTGCCCTTCCTGATCTGCCCTTCTGGGTCCACGGGAAAGACAGTCTGTTCAGCTGGGACTTCATCCTGCTGCCAGGACAGAGGAGGCGAAGGGCAAATCTGGCCACATCATTCCCTTCGGATTTCTTTAGTAGCAGCCCCACTCCCAGCACCTTTAGAAGTGGCAGCTGCACCTAAAACCCCAAACTCGGTGGAATAACATCGAAAACCCCAGCCAGGAGCGGTGGCTCACGCCTGTAATCTCAACACTTTGGGAGGCTGAAGCAGGCGGATCACCTGAGGTCAGGCATTCAAGACCAGCCTAGCCAACATGGGGAGACCCCCATCTCTACTAAAAATACACAATTAGTGGGGCGTGGTTGCAGATGCCTGTAATCCTAGCTACTCAGGAGGCAAGGCTGGAGAATCACTGGAACCAGGGAGGCGGAGGTTGCAGTGAGCTGAGATGGTACCACTGCATTCCAGCCTGGGCAACAAGAGTGAAACTCCGATCTCGTAAAAAAAAAAAAAAAAAAAAAAGAATCTGGGCTGTCCTCCAGTCTCCTGGTCATGGCAAGCACCCAGGGGTCAGCCCGGGGCCTGCCTCCTGCCTCCATCTGCATTCTCCCTCGCTCTCACTCAGCTCATCCACATTCAGGATTTTCAACACAGGCTACATACGGCCAACAACCATGTGTCTCTCTAGTCCACCTCCTGCCCCTGAGCTCCAGACTCACATCCGATTGCCTCTTTAATGTCTCCACTTGAATGCCCAACAGGCATCTCAAAAAACACTTCCCCCATGGCCTCCCAGTTTTCCCCATGGTAAGAAACAGCCCACCAGTGCCGTGCTGTTTGAGTCACACTCTCAAGACAGATTTCTCCCTTCTGTCCATCATCTTTTCCCCAACTCTGTCTCTCAAGTATATCATAGCTTGGTGCCCCAGCACCTAGCACAGCACACAGCAAGCTTCCCGTAAATGTGTGCTGAGTCACCTCGGGAGGGCACCTGCTAATCAGGGAGGTCTCTCCCGGCACAGGTCGCTTAGGAAAGGCACTTGTCTCTCACGCAGGAGGCGGAGAGAGCAGCCCAGAACAAGGACTCAGGACTCTCCTGTGGTCTGAACTCTGAACGGCCTGCGGTCCAGGAGAGTGCCTGGGTTGTGAACTCAGAGACTCGGCTGCCAGGAGAGCGGGGAGGAGGGAGCCCAGGCCAGGCTGTCCCCATCGATTCTGGGAGCCAGTGGCAGCAGGAAAGGCCCACAGCCCGGGATAAACCAGCCACCACCGGATCCCTGCCCTGCATTTTCCAAGCTGGACAGCTACGACTGCCTGGACTTAATACATTCATGTCTCTTCTGTTCCGCCACCCTAGAATGTGATGAAATCTTTCAGAAAGCCCAGCCTGTCTCAACTGGGACAAAGCAAACGAAGAATGAAAGTGTTGGTACTTGGACTAGAGCACTAAGGAAGAAACAAGGCCCCTGGGCAGTGAGGTGGTGGCAGCAGGTCACAGAATGAGAACCTTTCCCTGAGAGGGATGAAACCACAGGGGACTAGGCCAGCCAAAGAGTGTCCCGCAGTGCTGCCCTTGGTGTTGGAGGCTCTAGATCAGTAATGCACACAAATGATGTGCCACCAGTGAGGGACATTAGCGTCAACAAATACAGACACAGGCTTGGCGCTATGGCTCATGCCTGTAATCCCAGCACTCTGAGAGGCCAAGGCAGACAGATCACTTGAGGTCAGGAGTTCGAGACCACCCTGGCCAACATGGTGAAACCTGTCTCTACTAAAAATACAAAAATTAGCCTGGAGTGGTGGCACGTGCCTGTAATCCCAGCTACTTGAGAGGTTGAAGCAGGAGAATCACTTCAACCCAGAAGGCAGAGTTTGCAGTGAGCCAAGATCGTGCCACTGCACTCCAGCCTGGGTGAGAGAGTAAGACTCTGTCTCAAAAAAAAAAAAAAAAAAAAAAAAAGGCAGACACAGCTATGTCTTACCTACATGAGGTTAAATGGAAAATCTTGGGCAGGTAAGAGCCTATACAATAGCTACGGGTGAACTGCCTCTCTGGTTCTGAATGCTCATTGGCAGAAGCAAAAAGGAAACAGTGGTCACTTATACAGGGCCTTGTGTCTACAAGATCCAAGTGAACTAGAAGGCCATATTTCCCTGATACTTAAACAAATTGCCCTTGAGCCCTCATATGGGGCACAAAAGACGGGGGTGGGTTTTTTGTTTTTTATTTTGAGATGGAGTTTCGCTCTTGTCGCCCAGGCTAGAGTGCAATGGCATGACCTTGGCTCACTGCAACTTCTGCCTCCCGGATTCAAGTAATTCTCCTGCCTCAGCCTCTCAGGTAAGCTGGGACTACAGACACATGCCACCACACGCGGCTAATTTTTTTATTTTTGGTAGAGACAGGGTTTCACCATGTTGGCCAGGCTGGTCTCAAACTCCTGACCTCAGGTGATCCACCCGCCTCGGCCTTCCAAAGTGCTGGGATTACAGGTATGAGCCACCGCGCCCAGCCTGGTGGGTTTTAGAATGGCCTATGTCTCCTTTATGGTGGAAAGTCGCTGAGGCGAAGGAAACGGGAAACGGCATGCTCAAGGCAGAAGCAAAAGAAAAGACGGGCAGCCGCGCCCTCCCGCAGCTCCCCTGGCCACTAGCACACTCCAGCACCAGCGCTCCTTGCCTTCATGCACAGCCCACAGCCACAGCCGGGAATCACATGCCAGAAAACGTTGGCTCAGAAGCCCAGGATCAAGCAGTTAAGCTATCGCAGGAAAAACCCCTACAGCCGCCTAAATCAATGAGCAATTCACATCCTCAAAACAAACACACAAAGGAATAAAGGCTCATGTGTCACTCACTAAATGCTACAGACTGAACAAGATCCCCCAGAGCAAGTATTTTAGCAAACACCAAACGCCAATGGGTTACGTGCTAAAAAAAACAAAGCTAAAATTAAAAAACATATTTTAAAAAAATGAAAAGACTCTCCAGTTAACATAAGATTTAGGCAGCAGTGTTTGTTTTTAAAGCAGTGAAGGCTATGAGAAGGCAGCGCAGAGGGAAATCTAGCTACTTTTAATGCAACGTGTTCCCGGCCTACCTTTTCACACCCAATAACACACTCACAGGGCAGTATGACAGAAAAAAAGAAAAAGAAAAGAAAGAGGAACAAGCAAAAATTAGAAACATATAAGAACAGAAATAATTTTGATAGCTACAACACTACACGGACAAGAACGGGCCATGGATTTTTGTGAGGGGCACATGTGAGCTTGTAAGTAAACTACACCTGCACCTCACGTCCCAGGAAGTCCAGGACCTGAAGGGAGAATGATCTGTCAGGGGGCCTATCAGCATGGTCAGTGTGTCAAACCATAACTGGACTTACATCTGGACATTTCCTGTTGAGCTACCAAATACTATCCCATTCCGGGTTGGACACTTTCTCACTCCTACCAAGAGTTGCAGGGGAGAGCAAGGCTCTGCTCCTGCACCAAATCATTCCTTCAAAAATTAGAGAATCGGCCACGCACTGTGGCTCACGCCTGTAATCCCAGCACTTTGGGAGGCTGAGGCAGGCGGATCACTTGAGGTCAGGAGTTCGAGACCAGCCTGGCCAACATGGTGAAACCCTGTCTCTACTAAAAATACAAAGATTAGCCAAGTGTGGTGGCACACACCTGTAATCCCAGCTACTCAGGAGGCTGAGGCATGAAGAATCGTTTGAGCCCAGGAGGGAGAGGTTGCAGTGAGCCGAGACGGCGCCACTGCACTCCAGCCTGAGTGACAGAGCAAGACAACATCTCCAAAAAAAAAACAACTGGAGAACGATGGAGAAACAAAAGCAACAACAGGTTACCCATTATGAGAGGAGGATGTATTTTATTTCAGTTCACTGGTGTCATGATCTCACCGAACTTCAAATGCTAACTGACGTCTAATTGCGGTTGTCCCACTACAGTGAGCAAGCAGCTGTATTTGCCGCTATATTTTCAGTGCCTGGAGCCATGCCTGGCATATGAAGGCTCTGAACGAACACTTGTCAGTCATTATCCACTATGTGTGACACACCGCGTTGCAGCACACTCCCGTTCCTCCTGCGGGGTTGTGAGCACAGATTTCAAAAGGCAAAAAAGACCTGGTATTCGAAGGTGGATCTGCAACCTCACAGCCAAGAAGTGGGTGACTGAAAAATGTCACTGGTACTCACGTGGCAAAGGAGGCAGGCATGAGTCAAGGGGTCAGAGCGGGGTTCCTGACCCATGCTGCCTGTGAGCTTCAACCCTTCACCCCTTCTCTGTAAAGCAGGGGCAGGCCACTCCCTGCCGACCTCGCAGGTGGCCGCCAAGCTGTGCATAGCATAGAGCAACACCTTATCATGGATGACTCCCACAGATGCCTGCTGGCTGGACAGCAGTGTGCGCTCTTCAAGAGGCACAGGAGGCACAGCAGAAGGCAACGAGATGAGGTAGAAACGGTCCCGGGCCTTAGAGACAGACCTGGTGCTTATATCAGCTCTGCTGCTCAGTGGCTGCCCAGGTCTCTAAACCTTGCTGCCTCAGCCCCACATCAGCCAGCACAGCAACCCGGCGTAGATCACAGGGCTGCCGTGAGGATTAAATACACAGCAGGTCTACGGCATGCCTTTCCCTTTCCTGAAGCCAAATATGCACATTTGGGTGAAGAAATGAAAATTCCTTCCTTCCAGACCCTGCAAAGCACCACAGTCAGGTATGACTGAGGCTATTCTATGCTTCCAACTCTGAGGGCTGGACTTAGACTACTGTGTCTCAATTCTGTGATCATTTCTCCTCATACTTACCAGCAACCAGAAAGACACCGTTTGACCTTAGATAAATTTTAGAAACATGCTGAGCACCTACTTTGCAGCAGGCACTGTGGTGGCATGCACATGACATCACTGAATCCTCACCTGTGGCTCATCAGCCAATCCTACACAGGAGGAGGGAGAGCCCTGTCCAAGCCAGGAGGCCAGTGACTGACACAGGGACACATCACTTTCCCTGGCAAATGGGGACGCCCTCTTGGCAAACAGTTGCTGCCTAGGCTTGCATCTCATCCAGCTCTGCAGAACAGCCACCATGGCAAGACAGAGCAGCGAACAGAGAGTGGAAGGAAGTGGCAAGGAAGAGCTCATCTGAAATTCTGATTTGAAATAAAGTTTTAGACTTAATAACAGGCAAGATGGGAAGCCGACCTTTTCCTGCTCTATCCAACACTCCTCGTACACAGAGAGAATAGACATACTTCCATTTGTATAAGGTAGCTGTTTAGCAGCTCCCAGGTGGCATTTCTGGCATCCGATACCTGTGCTTGGCTGCTCTGTAAGTGAGGAATTCGACACTGTGGCCATCAGGAGGGAAAAAGTAGCCACATACGCAGGGTACACAGCCTGGCAATCAGGAGACATGGGCTCTACTTCTAGCTCAGCTAGGACCTAGCCCTTACCTCTCCAGATTCACCTCTCATCTGTGAACCAAAGGGATGAGACTGAATAAGTGTTCAAACTGTGCTCTAGCACAGTGCTGTCCAACAGAAATAAAACACAAGCCACATAAGTAAATTTCAGTTTCTAGTTGCCACATTTTTAAAAGTAAAAATGAAACAGTTGATACTGATTTTTAAAATATAGTTTATTTAACCTAAGATAGGTAAAATACTATCATTTCAACATGTAATCTATATAAAACATATTAGCAAGAAAGTTGGCCAGGCACAGAGGTTCACACCTGTAATCCCAGCACTTTGGGAGGCCAAGGCAGGCGGATCACTTGCGGCCAGGAGTTCAAGACCAGCCTGGCCAATGTGGCAAGATCCTATCTCTATTAAATATACAAAACTCAGCCAGGCATGGTGGCACATGCCCGTAGTCCCAGCTACTTGGGAGGCTGAGGCATGAGAGTCACTTGAACCCAGGAGGTGGAGGTTGCACTGAGCCAAGATAGCGCCACTGCTCTCCAGCCTGAGAGACAGGCTGTCTCAAAAAAAAAAAAAAAAATAGCAAGAAAGTTTATTTTTGCAGAAGTAAGTCTCAAAATCTGGCATGGGTTTTCTTCACCGCCCATCTCAACTCAAACTAGCCTCGTGTCTAGTGCTCAAAAGCCACAACTGGCTGTGGCTGCTGTATTGGACGGAGCTCCAGGAGTCCCACAAGGGGAGCCCCACTAAAAAAAAGGGGAGTGTACACGACAACTCTAAAAGACTCCCCCAAACCAAAGGCTGTCTCTGTCTTTAAAAGTCACTGGTTTTTGTTTGGTTGGTTTTTTAGCAGCACTCAAACAGATTCTGACAGGAAGTCATCAGTTTTAAAAACCAAAGGACAACACCTTTCTACTCCTTGCTGCAATAAAATTCTGCCATGTGCTTTCCCTTTCTGATGTAGGGAAGCCAAGGGGCCTGGGTCTCTGGGTAAACTTACCTGCTGTCTGTGTCCAGTCCTACAAAATCCTTTTTCTCAAACGGGACACAGAGAAGGGGGATCTTATCCCCAGACTTGTCTGTGGCTCTGTCCAGACGCTTGGACTCCAGCACAATGAACAGTGACTCGATGAAGTCCTCGATTCTCTTCTCCACTGTCTGGCAGTCCTCGTAGTTGGGGTAGAAGGCCACGTCGGTGCGCGGCTGCTCCACGATCTCCCCCTGCAGCCCGAAGACAAAGAGCCGGGAGTCATACAGCGTGGAGCCGTAGATCTCCTTCTGCACGTGGAACTTCTCGAAGGTCTGCGGCCAGTCCTTGGCCGAGAAGCAGTCGGTGATGGTGATGAGGCCCACGACTTTGCGGTGGGTCTGGAAGTCTCCCCACTCGTTGTTCTCGGGTGGATAGTGGTGCCTGTAGCGGATGTAGAGGACTCGCTGGGAGTCCCGCACGCTGATCTGACTCACAGAGCAAATCCTCTTATAGATCCTGAAGAAGTTCTCCTCGGAGACGATGCCCACAGGCTGGACCACCACGAGCAGTGTCTGGTGGTCCTCAGCACACTGCATGTAGTCAGGGACGCTCATTTTGAAGTCCCTGTTCAGAGAGAAGAAATGAGGCTGTGAGACGCAGAGTCCTGAGAGCTGACAGCCCACTCTGGGAGGCAGTGACTCTGACCTTCACTAGCCAGAGGCAGGGGAAGCCCCAAGGAAAGCCATAGCATCAACAGGTCTTAGGGCTCTACACGTGGCTGTCACAGCTCTGATCATAATGCTGTAACTGTTGACCTTCAGTCCCTCGGCCTCAGCTTGGAGCTTCTGCAGAAATGGGGCTGCTTCTTGTCTTTCTATTCCCACCACCTAACCAGGAGTAGTAAGAGTCAGTGCTCAAAAATATCTGTTGAGTGAATGAATAAACACGTGTGTAATTGCTCCCCCATCCCCTCAATAGGATATTAAGAAAAATCCACCATGCAGTCAGATCTGGATTTGAATTCTGGGCTCCCTGGAACTCCTCAACTACAAAATAGTGGTGATAATAGAACTTGTCTTGGCCAGGCACGGTGGCTCACGCCTGTAATCCTAATACTTTGGGAGGCCGAGGCTGGCAGATCACTTGAGGTCAGGAATTCGAGACCAGCCTGGCTAATATGGTGAAACCCCACCTGTATTAAAAATACAAAAATTAGCTGGGCGTGGTGGCACGTGCCTGTAACCCCAGCTACCTGGGAGGCTGACGCAGGAAAATTGCTGGAACCCGAGAGGTGGAAGCTGGAGTGGGCCGAGATCGCACCACTGCACTCCAGCCTGGATGACAGAGTGAGACTCCATCTCAAAAAAAAAAAAAAAAAAAAGAGGTGGGGCACGGTGACTCACGGCTGTAATCCCAGCACTCTGGGAGGCCGAAGCGGGCAGATCACGAGGTCAGGAGAGATCGAGACCATCCTGGCTAACATGGTGAAACCCCATCTCTACTAAAAATACAAAAAAATTAGCTGGATGTGGTGGTGGGTGCCTGTAGTCCCAGCTACTTGGGAGGCTGAGGCAAGAGAATGACATGAACCCGGTAGGCAGAGCTTGCAGTGAGCCGAGATCCCGCCACTGTGCTCCAGCCTGGGCAACAGAGCCAGACTCCATCTAAAAAAAAAAAAAAAAAAGAATTAAAAGAAAAAGAACTTACCTTATAAAACTATATTTAGATTGAGGAGGTTGCGAATGTAAAGGGCCTAGCATTGTGCCTAACATAAAAGGAGAGATTACACAAATATACCAACACTCCTTTATAAATGGGAGAGTTGCCATAACCTCTCTGAGCCAATTTTGTCGGATATAAAAAGAAAACGTTATTACCTGATTCCCCAGAGCTGGGGAAAAATTAAATTAGATGACCCACATGAAAGAATCTGGCTCATAGGAGATCCTCAATACATGTTTGTTGAAGGAATGAGTGAACAAACAAACAAATGGACAATCGAATGAATGCTGGCCCCAGCCCACTGACGGTCAGGATGGAAACCCCACTGCCTGGAAGTCAGGGCTGATATTCAACTCCCAGCTCTACACGCACGACCTGGGTGACTTGGAGCAAGCCTGTGCACCTCCCTGAACCCCAGTTCCATCGTGAATAAAAATGAGGATAGTAGCACATACCTCAAGATGTCAGCGAGTCAACATTCTGGTTGTGATAACGTACTGTGGTTTTGTAAGATGGCACCACGGGGGGAAATTGGGCAAAAGGTATATAGGATCTCTCGGTATTATTTCTGACAAATGCACATGGAGCTACAACTACTATAGTCTCAAATAAAAAGTCTAATTTTTGTAAAGGTGAGGGAGATTAAATGAGCTCTCTGTATCAAATAAGATGTCTCGATACACACCTCCACTGTCCCCATCAGCGGGCTCACACTTCCTCAGGGGATTTGGCCATGGTCCCCATGGCCAGAGGCAGCTGTACCATGAGCTAATGGGGTTCAGCTTCAGGCCCCTTCCATGGCCCTCTATCTAATTTTGCTTTTTTTTTTGAGACGGAGTCTCACTCTGTCGCCCAGGCTAGAGTGCAGTGGCGTGATCTTGGCTCACTGCAAGCTCCGCCTCCCGGGTTCATGCCATTCTCCTGCCTCAGCCTCCCAAGTAGCTGGGACTACAGGTGCCCGCCACCACGCCCGGCTAATTTTTTGTATTTTTAGTAGAGACAGCGTTTCACTGAGTTACCCAGGATGGTCTCGATCTCTTGACCTTCTGATCCACCCACCTCAGCCTCCCAAAGTGCTGGGATTACAGGCGTGAGCCACTGCACCTGACTAATTTTGCATTTTTTTTTTTTTTTTTTTTGAGACGGAGTCTCGCTCTGTCGCCCAGGCTGGAGTGCAGTGGCCGGATCTCAGCTCACTGCAAGCTCCGCCTCCCGGGTTCCCGCCATTCTCCTGCCTCAGCCTCCCGAGTAGCTGGGACTACAGGCGCCCACCACCACGTCCGGCTAGGTTTTTTGTATTTTTTAGTAGAGACGGGGTTTCACCATGTTAGCCAGGATGGTCTCGATCTCCTGACCTCGTGATCTGCCCGTCTCGGCCTCCCAAAGTGCTGGGATTACAGGCTTGAGCCACCGCGCCCAGCCTGCATTTTTAATTTTGTTTTCTTTTTCTTAAATAGGAAACCCAAAACTGCATGACCTTCAGGTCACCAAAGCCTGACTGCAGAGATCGTGGCAGTAACTCTCCCAGGTGAGACACTAAGACTAAAATGACATAGCCACAAGACCTCTGTGAAATTCTAATGGCAAGCCTCTCACCCTGCACTGAGAGAAGGACTGCGTGTTGGGGGCTATCCCATTCTGACTATGCAGATCCCACAATGGACTATACACCGCAACCCCACCACTGCAAACTTCAAAAATGCACATGGATAGGGGAGTATGGACAAAATTATATTTAAAGGAAAGGAAACCCTAGCCTCCCAACATGTCTTGTTTCTGCCCAGGATCTAAACAGTTCACAAGTATATTGTATGTGTATAACTCGGCCCAAGTCCCCAACTCCGGTGCTCACACTCTCAAGGACGATGCCCCACTCTCTCCTGCCCTTTCCCCACAACGATTCCCTCAAGAGTCTTTTCTGCACACAAAAACCACCTTGGAAAGAACCAAAATCACATCATCTTCCAACAAAGAGGCATAACACCCCTCGGAGGACATATCAAAATACTGAGCAGGGGAGACTGGAGAGGGCATGTTTCTCAAAAGCAGGCATGGGTTTAACAGAAGTTGAGAAACACTGAAGCCGTCATTCTACAGAGAAGGAGAGTGCGGCCCACCGCAGATGAAGAAAGGGCCGTATTTTAAAAGTATCATCTCGGCCAGACATGGTGGCTCACACCTGTAATTTGGGAGGCCAAGGTGGGAGGATCACTTGAGGTCAGGAGTTCGAGACCAGCCTGGTCAACATGGCAAAACCCGGTCTCTACTAAAAATACAAAAATTAGCCAGGAGTGGTGGCACACACCTGTAGTCCCAGCTACTCCGGAGGCTGAGGCAGGAGAATTGTTTGAACTCAGGAAGTGGAGGAGGCAGTAAGTCAAGATCACACCATTGCACTCCAGCCTGGGCAACAGAGTGAGACTCCATCTCAAAAAAATAAATAAATAAAAATAATTTAAAAATAAAAAGTATCGTCTCATCTAAAAAGCAGCATAATCAGCCAGGTGCGGTGGCTCACACCTATAATCCCAGCACTTTGGGAGGCCGAGGCAGGCAGATCACTTGAGGTCAGAAGTTGGAGACCAGCCTGACCAACATGGAGAAACCCTGTCTCTAATAAAAATACAAAAAAATTAGCCAGGCGTGGGGGTGCATGCCTGTAATCCCAGCTACTCAGGAGGCTGAGGCAGCAGAATCGCTTGAACCCAGGAGGTGGGGGTTGCAGTGAGCTCAGATCGTGCCACTGCACTCCAGCCTGGGCGATAAGACTGAGACTCCATCTCAAAAAAAAAAAAAAAAAAAAAAAAAAAAAAAACCTGACCTCATACCTGTGATCTCAGCACTTTGGGAGGCCAAGTCGAGTGGATTACCTGAGGACGTCAGGAGTTCGAGACCAGCCTGGCCAACATGGCAAAACCCTTTCTCTACTAAAAATACAAAAATTAGCCAGGCATGGTGACATACACCTGTAATTCCAGCTACTTGGGAGGCTGAGGCACAGGAATCGCTTGAACCCGGGGAGGAGGAGGTTACAGTGAACTGAGATCACACTACTGCACTTCCAGCCTGAGTGATAGAGTAAGACTCTTAACAAAAAAAAAAAAACAAAAAGGCCCCAGCCACTGAGCCAGTTCTGGTATCTGAGACTAAGCTAATACAGGTATTAAAACAGCAAAAATATATATCTTCAACTTGGTAGTTCCTCCATAGAGCTACCATAAAACCAGCAATCCAAGAGATCTGAAAACATGTGTCCACACCAAAAACTTGTACAGGAATGTACACGGCAGCATTATTCCTCTTTTCTTGAGACGGAGTTTTGCTCTGTCACCCAGGCTGGAGTGCAGTGGCAGGATTTCAGCTCACCTCAACCTCCACCTCCCAGGTTCAAGCCATTCTCATGCCTCAGCCTCCTGGGAAGCTGGGACTACAGGCGTGAGCCACCATGCTCGGCTAATTTTTGTATTTTTAGTGGAGATGGGGTTTCGCCATGTTGTCCAGGCTGGTCTCGAACTCATGACCTCAGGTGATCCACCTGCCTCAGCCTCCCAAAGTGCTCGGAATACAGGCACAGTATTATTCTTGTTTGTTTGTTTGTTTGTTTGTTTTCTCACTCTGTCGCCAGGCTGGAGTACAGTGGCGCGATCTCGGCTCACTGCAAACTCCGCCTCCCAGGTTCAAGGGATTCTACTGCTTCAGCCTCCCCAGTAGCTGAGACTACAGGCGCCCGCCACCACGCCCAGCTAATTTTTGTATTTTTAGTAGAGAGGGAGTTTCACCATGTTGGCCGATGGTCTCAATCTCTTGACCTCGTGATCCACTGCCTTGGCCTCCCAAAGTGCTGGCATTACAGGTGTGAGCCACCACGCCCGGCCAGGCACGCATTATTCTTCATAGCTAAGGAGTGAAAACAACACAAATGTCCATCAACTGCCTGATACACAAAATGTTAAATCCATACAATGGGATATTATTCAGCCACAAAAGGAACAAAGTGCTGATGTAAGCCACAATGTGAAAAACTTCTGAAAGCATTGTGCTGAGTGAAAGAAGCCAAATACAAAAGGTCACATGTTGTATGATTCCATTAATATTAAATGCCCTGAATATGCAAATCTATATATATCGAAAGTAAATTGGTGGCTGCCAGGGACTGTGGGAGGGGGAAATGAGGAGTGACTGCTAATGGGTATGGAGTTTCTTTCTGGGGTGATGAAAATGTTCTGGAATTACAATGGTTACACGAGTGTGAATATATTAAAAATCACTGAATTGGCCGGGCTCGGTGGCTCACGCCTGTAATCCCAAAACTTTGGGAGGCCAAGGCGAGTGGATCACGAGGTCAGGAGTTCGCGATCAGCCTGGCCAACGTTGTGAAACCCCGTCTCTACTAAAAATACAAAAAAAAAAAATTAGCCGAGCATGGTGGCATGAGCCTGTAATCCCAGCTACTCAGGAGGCTGAGGCAGGAGAATCGCTTGAACCCGGGAAGCGGAGGTTGCAGTGAGCCGAGATCGCACCATTACACTCCAGCCCGGACGACAGTGCGAGACTCCGTCTCAAAAAAAAAAAAAAAAAAAAAAAGCACTGAATTGTACACTTCAAAGCAGTGGATTTTATGGCAGGTAATCGAGGCTCAATGAAGCTGTTATTTTTGACACACTAGATTTCTGAAACATTCATTGTTTACATGTTTCCAGACAACTATTTTTCCCTCTGGTCTTCCACACAATTTTTTAAAAAAACGAACAAACACACACAACAAAACCTAGCCAGATCTTTAGGACGGGAATGTTCCTGGGCCTCCAATATCATTAATCCGATGCTCTGTTTCATGTTAACAAATAAAGATGTCATAGGTAGCTATGACTACCTTAGAAACACTGGACAGTCACCAGTTTAAACTAGGGCCGTGGGGGATGGAAGGGATGTCACTCCCCCACACCTTCCAACTGGGCCTTGCTTCCAACGTTTTAATTCCTCTCTCTATAAAAACATTTGAAGACAGACAATGCATCCTAACACGGGAAAACTTTCGGTTAACAGACATTCACGTTGGGAAGGTCCGTAGGAGTGGAGGGGCGTGGGGTGGGCTGACAGGGAGAAGACCACATGTCAGCAGGCTGATTTCCTCTCCCCACGCTTCCCTGGGATAAGTTGGAGTTGACAGCGCGCTTATCCCACAGAGTACCGCCTGATGCCGCCCAGCTAGATCGGAGGCACTTTGAATCCACGAGACAGGAGGGAAAGAGCTAGAGGAGAAGCCCGGGATCGCAGGGCGGGGAAAGCGCCGGGGGCGTGGGCTGTGCAGGTCCCCAGGCCCCAGCCGCGTGTCCCAGACCCCGCGGGCTCCAGGGGGCGTAGCCAGGCCCAGAGGCGGGGGGCTCCAGCGTCGCGGACGGCCCGGGAAGGGAAGTCAGGCGGAGACAGCTCGGAGGCGCAGAGGGGAAGGGGACCCCGCCGCGGGCTCGGGACAGCAGAGCCGGCCCGGGCAGCAGGTGTGGGCCGGGTCCCGGACAGGTGTCCGCCGGGTCTTCAGCGGGTGTGGACACGGCCTTGGACAGGTGTAAGCAGAGCGCCAACAGGAGCGAGGGCGCCTCGAGCAGGTGCAAGCTGAACCCCGGCCGGGCAGCGGACCCCGACAGGTGTGGTGGGCTCGGCCCGGACAGGTGAGGACCGGGCGAGCCCCTCCGCGGGACGCGCCGACTCCGCGGCCAGCCGCGCAGCCAGCCCTCCCCGCAGCCGGCCCGAATTGCCTGACCGGGAGCCCCCCCGCTTTGCACTTACACAGCCGGTGGCCCCGGGCCCGGAGCGGGAGCCCACGACCTGGCGGGCAGCGGGACCGAGCAGCCTCTGCGGCCACTTCCCCGGCTCGGGGCTGGCGCTTCCGACCAGCGGCCGAGCCGGCGCTGCTCCTGCGCCTGCGCGGAGGCCGGGCCCGGGCCCGGGCCCGCGATCCGTCCCGGGTTTTGCAAGAGATGCGAGGGAAGCCGGGGGCAGGAGCGAGGGAGAAAGGAGGGAGGAGGAGCTAGGGAGAGAAGAGGGGACAGGGGGATGGAAGGAACAGGGGGAAGGAAGAGGAGGGGAGCGGGAGGAGGAGGGAGAGAAAAAGAAGGGGTGAAAGAAGAAGGGAGGTGGAGCGAGGGAGAGAAGGAGGGACAGGGAGGAAGGGGACAGAGGGAGGGAGGAGGAGGAGGAGGGGTGAAAGAAGGAGGGAGGGGCAGCGAGAGAGAATCGGGGACAGGGAGAGGGAGGAGGAGGAGAGAGGGAGGAGGAGGGAGAGAAAAAGGAGGGGAGAAAGAAGGAGGGAGGAGGAGAAGTAGGGAAGGAGGGAGATGGAGGGAGGAGGCAGAGAGGGACGGGCAAGAGAGCGGAGACTGGGAGGAAAGTTTCTGCACCTGGGGCGGCGCAGCTGGAAGGAGGCCTAGTCCTGTCTCCGCCGCTTACCAGTCCCTCAGGGCGCGCAGCTCAAACTTCACTTCCTCTGTGAAGCTCCGGGGTGGAGGCCCCGCAGAAGCCCACTGTGGATACCCCTGGCACCCCACATGACCCCCACGGTCGTGACCCCCCTTTTCAGGTTGGGTGACCGTGGCGCGAGCGGCCTGGGAGCGCCTCTAGAATCGCAGGGTCCGGGAGGCGCGTGAGGTGCGAGCCCCAGCCTGGGTCGGCTGCCCCCTGTGTGGCGCGCGGTCTTGATCCCCAGCTGACACCATGGCACTCCCGACTTTGAGGGCCCCAACAATCCATCCACATAAAAGGTTCCAAAGAGGCGACAGGGGCTAGGACAGCTGTCGTTAGTTCAGTGCCAAGGCGCCAAGCTTGCTAAGTGCGGGCAGAAGCCATTTAAGGATTTAAAACCCTCTGGGTTCCAAAACAATAAAATAAAGCTGGAGATGGGGGAGGCTTACAGACTTAAGATGCCCAGCACATGAATTAACAGTGGCATCCTCAGGGAAGATGGAAAACAGAGCCGTTCTCCGTTTTGTATGTTTAATGTTCTGTTTGAATCTTTTAACATGTACATGTATTTCTTTTTCAATTAAAAAATCCTAGGCCGGGCCCGGTGGCTCAAGCCTGTAATCCCAGCACTTTGGAAGGCGGAGGCGGGTGGATCACTTGAGGTTAGAAGTTCGAGGCCAGCCTGGCCAACATGGTGAAACCCCGTCTCTAATAAAAATACAAAATTAGGCCGGGCGCGGTGGCTCACGCCTGTAATCCCAGCACTTTGGGAGGCTGAGGTGGGCGGATCACGAGGTCAGGGGATCGAGACCATAGTGAAACCCTGTCTCTACTAAAAATACAAAAAATTAGCCGGGCGCGGTGGCGGGCGCCTGTAGTCCCAGCTACTCGGGAGGCTGAGGCAGGAGAATGGCGTGAACCCGGGAGGCGGAGCTTGCAGTGAGCTGAGATCCGGCCACTGCACTCCAGCCTGGGCGACAGAGCTAGACTCCGTCTCAAAAAAAAAAAAAAAGGCCGGGCGCGGTGGCTCAAGCCTGTAATCCCAGCACTTTGGGAGGCCGAGACGGGCGGATCACGAGGTCAGGAGATCAAGACCATCCTGGCTAACACGGTGAAACCCCGTCTCTACTAAAAAATACAAAAAACTAGCCGGGCGAGGTGGCGGGCGCCTGTAGTCCCAGCTACTCGGGAGGCTGAGGCAGGAGAATGGTGTAAACTCGGGCGGCGGAGCTTGCAGTGAGCTGAGATCCGGCCACTGCACTCCAGCTTGAGCGACAGAGCGAGACTCCGTCTCAAAAAAAAAAAAAAAAAAAAAATACAAAATTAGCCAGACATGGTGGCGCGCGCCTGTAATCCCAGCTACTGGGCAGGCTGAGGCAGGAGAATCGCGTGAACCTGGGAAACAGAGGTTGCAGTCAGCTGAGATCATGCCATTGCTCCAGCCTGGGCAATAAGAGCAAAACTCTATCTCCAAAAAAAAAAAAAAAAACAACTAAAAAGGGCCAGGATTGGTGATTCACGCCTGTAATCTCAGCACTTTGGGAGGCCAAGGCGGCTGGATCACCTGAGGTCAGGAGTTCAAGACCAGTCCGGGCAACATGGTGAAACCCCGTCTCCATTAAAAATACAAAATTAGTTGGGCATGGTGGTAGGTGCCTGTAATCCCAGCTACTGGGGAGTCTGAGGCAGGAGAATCGCTTGAACCTGGGAAGCGGGGGCTGCAGTAAACTGAGATCGTGCCACTGCACTTCAGCCTGGGCGACAGAGAGACTCCGTTTCAAAAAAAAAAAAATCTTAAAAGGAAAAGTAAAGAGGACAGGAGTGGTTCTCTCAGCACATACAGCAGCAAGGGAGAAATGGTCTGAACCAGCGCTTTTCCTTTCAGCCAGCAGGCACTTACCCACTCTGGGCTGTGTGACCAGGGCTGTTTTATTATTCACATGTTTTATAAAAGAAGATACTATCCCTCATCCCTGCTCAGGGCTAATGGAAAACCAATTGAGTTTTTATTGAATTATTTTCTACAGAGTCAGAATGAGTTATAAATCAAACACATCTTCAGGGTAACACAAATGGAGCTGACTTCCAGCATGCCAGAGAGCCAGGAAGTTTGCAGCGGAGTGCCCAGGGGCTGAGGAAGAGTGTCTCCCTGACAACACAAAAGCTGCCCAACGTGGCTGCCCATAGTGTTACGACTGCATGGAGGACGTGCAGTGGCTCACAGCTATAATCCCAGTACGTTGGGAGGCCGAAGCAGATGGATCACTTGAGCCCAGGAGTTTAAGGCCAGCCTGGGCAACACAGGGAAACTCTGCCTCTTGGAAAAAATACCTAAATTAGCTGGGCAGGATGGCACAAACCTGTAGTCACAGCTACTCAGGAGACTGAGGCAAGAGGATCGCTTAAGTCTTGCCAGGTCGAGGCTGCAGTAAGCTATGATCACTCCAGCCTGGGAGAGACAGCAAGACCCTGTCTCAAAAAAAAAGTTTAAAAAAAAAATTTTTTTTTTTTTTTTTTTTTTTTGAGACGGAGTCTCGCTCTGTCACCCAGGCTGGAGTGCGGTGGCCGGATCTCAGCTCACTGCAAGCTCCGCCTCCCGGGTTCACGCCATTCTCCTGCCTCAGCCTCCCGAGTAGCTGGGACTACAGGCGCCCGCCACCTCGCCCGGCTAGTTTTTTGTATTTTTTAGTAGAGACGGGGTTTCACCGTGTTAGCCAGGATGGTCTCGATCTCCTGACCTCGTGATCCGCCCGTCTCGGCCTCCCAAAGTGCTGGGATTACAGGTGTGAGCCACCGCGCCCGGCCAAAAAAAAAAAAATTTTTTTAATTAATAAATAAACAAAAGGGTGTATGGGGTTAACAGAGAATACAGAAAAGATACATTTAAAAGGCCACCACTAACAGAGGTCTGAGTGCAGAAACTAGGCTCCAAGCTTACCTCATAAGATCCAGGCAAGGCAGCTATTTTTAGTGCTGAGGTCCAGAAAGGATACCCTACTTGGCTGGGGTCACGCAAGTGGCTGGTGCTATTTAGGGACTCAAATCCAGGGCTGTCAGACCCCACAGACTGTACTCTTTCCATAGGTCTTTTCTTATTCTGTCTATAAGTGGATAAGGCAAGCAACTTGGAAAGCAAGATTTAAAGCTGGCAAAAGGAAACATTGCTTATTTGCAATGTACACACTTCAATCAATTTATGTTGTTGTCTCAGCAAATCTGTGGGGGAGGGCAGGGACTATTTCCTCTGCAATTTTTTTTTTTCTTTTCTTTTTTGTTTTTGAGACAGAGTCTCACTCTGTCACCCAGACTGGAGTGTAGTGGTGCAATCTTGGCTCACTGCAACCTCTGCCTCCCGGGTTCAAGTGATTCTCCTGCCTCAGCCTCCTAAGTAGCTGAGATTACATGCGCGTGCCACTATGCCCGGCTAATTTTTGTATTTTTAGTAGAGACGGGGTTTCACCATGTTGGTCAGGCTGGTCTCGAACTGCTGGCCTCGTGATCCACCCACCTCGCCTTCCCAAAGGGCTAGTATTATTACTCTGCATTTTTACCGATGAGAAAACAGAGGCTCAGATAGTGTGAGAGTCTGCCACAGCCCAGCCCACAACGATCAAATGAGAACATCCAAAGCAGTCCCCGTACTGTCTAGGTCCTGGGGCTGTGCTCCTTTAGTATCTTTAACATTTCCTAAGCATCTCCTCTGAAGGGTGACAATTCAAATATACAAAATCTGCCCTTAAGGAATTTACAGACACCTAAGGTTGGAAGGAGTTTCTAAAATAATCAGGTCCAACCTCATACTCACACTCTCTCCCCTCTACAAAAGTCCTAAAAGGCAGAACACTTTGAAGATGTGGCTATTTGTCTTAGTTGGTTTGGGCAGATATAATAAATTACTAGAACAACACTGAGATCAGGGCGCCAGCATGGGTAGGGTCTGGTGAAGGTCGTCTTCTGAGTGGCAGATGGCTGGCTTCTTGTATTTTCACATGACAGAGAGCTAGCTGTCTGGTTTTTGTTTGTTTGTTTGTTTGTTTGTTTAGATGGCGTCTAGCTCTTGTTGCCCAGGATGGAGTGCAATAGCACGATCTCAGCTCACCGCAACCTCCGCCTCCTGGGTTCAAGTGATTCTCCTGCCTCAGTCTCCTGAGTACTTAGGATTACAGGCATGCACCACCACATCCAGCTAATTTTTTGTATTTTTTAGTAGAGACAGGGTTTCTCCATGTTGGTCAGGCTGGTCTCAAACTCCCGACCTCAGGTGATTCGCCTGCCTCAGCCTCCCAAAGTGCTGGGATTACAGGCATGAGCCATCGTGTCCAGCCTGGTCTCTTCTTAGAAGGGCACTAATCCCATAAATGGGGGTTCTGCCCTGTGACCTAATTACCTCCCAAAGGCCCCACCATATATGATCATATTGGGGAATAAATTTAAACATATGAATTTGGGAGGAACATGAACATTCAGTTCATAACA